AAGAAAACCAAACAACAGTTGCCCGCACTTTGACAGAAAAAGAACAACAAGCTATCGACCTGCTCAGAGTCAGATCGAAAGAAGAAGTCAAGGAACAAATAATCATATTCTGACAGCAGGAGGACCATCGGAAGGAACTCGTCAAGCTCACTCGAGAAGAGTTAGGCCAAATCATAGCTGAAGTGGTTGCCCGAGCGCAAGAGTCCAGACAACTCGATCATGATGCTCTCAAAAAGTGGGGTAAAGAGTATGAGGTCAGATCGGTCTAGCAAGAAGAACCCCCGAAGTCATCTTAAGAGGTTGCATTTGCATAGCTCTCCGCCCAGGATGAAAAACTTCAAGCCAAAGTCAGGGAAAAATGGCCTCGTAGCCATATGGTCATCTCTTTGCAGAGAAGGTCCTTGAAGGAGAGCTGGCCCAGTAACTTCCGCGAGTTGATCTTATCCTACAATGGTTTGACGGGCCCCACCCAACATCTGAGATCGTTCGAAAACATTGTAGTCCTGCACAAATATAGAGATGTTGTCAGCTGTCGAGCTTTACTAACGACCCTCAAGGGATCAACCCATGATTAGTTTCATTAGCTCCCTAAAGGATCAATCTACTCTTTCACGCAACTCAGTTAATAGTCCTTGAACCAATTCTCCAACGCAAAAAAGCAAGGGAAGACGTAACTATCACTAATTAATATGAAACAGTGAGAAAGGGAAATCATTCAAAGAGTATGCAACCTGCTACCCTAAGGAGTGTGTAGTGGTTCCGTCAGCTTCTGAAGAGATACGAGTTGGAGGTCTGACCAGTGGGCTCTAGCCAAGACCATGTCACAGCTTGCTGGCAAAGAGACCGACAAAGTCTTTTGACGAGCTACTTCAGAGGTGTAACATCTACATCAACATGAAAGAGTCAGAGTCACATTTTCTGCAGAACGATAATACGAAGGCTAAGAAGGTGCCACGTCCCAACAAAAGAAAGTCGGCAAATAAGGAAGGTAGGTTGAATGATCGATCTAGGTTAGGATACAAGTACCATCAGTATGCCCCATTGACTGTACCATGTTTACAAGATGCTCGAGAAGAATGGTGAAGTGGATGTACTCTCAAGACCAAACCCGATCCTAAGAAGGAAGAGGTAGCTTGGCAGAGGGTGTCAACCGAGTGTCCATAGTGTGTTTATAGTCACAAGTAGCTTGGCAGATAACATCTTTCTATTGTGCCTCAAGAAGATGGAGCTCAGTGTAAGCTTGACACTAGTCCGCACGGCCTTATAAGGATTCAACAGAAATGTTGTTGCACCATTAGAAGAACTGCAGTTGCCAGTTGTCCTCAGAAAGTCGAACCCAAAGAAAGTCAAGATGGTCAGGTTCCTAGTAGTCGACGCAGATTCAACATATAACATCATCCTGGGGCGGCCAAGTTTGAATAATTTTCAAGCCGTGGTGTCAACATACTACATGAAGATCAAGTTCCCTGTACGCGACCAAGTCGGAGAAGTGCTGGGAGATCAAAGACAAGCCAAAATATGCTATGAGATCACTTTAAATAAGTTAGAGGAAGGTACTCAGAAGAAGGAGCAGAGCTTGGAAGACCCAGAAGGTTCGGGAAGCAAGAATAAAGCAAGCTCGGTCGAGATACAACCATGATCACAGCTCCTCAAGAGGAGGTTATCTTAGGTTATTATTCTTATTTAGTTTTGATTTTTGCATTGAGTGTTCCGCCATTTTTGGCATTCGAATAAAGGACAACCTCCGAGCATGTGAGCTCGACGATTGATTAGGGCCCCAGTTCGAGCATAGTTACATTTTCATGACAAAGACATTATTAATAAATTGTTCAATTTATTGTGCAATACAAGTCTTTTACCGTTATTGGCCCGTACTAGTCTATACAGACATTGGGATCCCAAAAGGCCAAAATAAGCATTCAACAAATATGAAGGCTGGCAAACAAGCAAAGTTTATGTTTGGGTTCGAACTTTGGGCTGACGATCTCGAAATCCTGGAGATCAGCCAAGAAGAACTCCGGTTTCATGACTCGGAAGGCTAGGACCTAGTCAGGCAGAACCCCGGGCTTCTGTCTTGGGGGCCTACTTTTTCAGAATAAGCAAAACTTCAACTTCATGACTTGAGGTCTTATATTCCAGACCGACAAAATTGTAAGCTGCTGGGGCGGAAGACCTTAAGCCCAAAATTTCGAGCTATAAGTTTGGGGGCCTATAAGTTCAGATCGGCATAACTATGAGCTGTGTGCTCAGAGGCCTATCAGACCAGATAGGCAGAACTCCAACCTGTGAGCTCGGAGGCCTACAACTCCTGCGCAACTGTGGAACGAATACTTCAATCGACGACTTTCAACTACTATGTTGTCCAGATTTGATGGGTGGATTTGATGGGTGAATTCTAACTTTGTTCCTCATTTCATGGACAACAATATCCACTAATCAATTTCACGTTTTCAGCTCATACGGGCTTTCAATTTGAAGTTGCATTTTCTACAAAATTTTTCCATTTTTGTTTTTGAGTTTTATTCTATTTTTGTGGTGGGTACAAGAGTTGATTAAATGAAAACTTTCAGAGAATCAAAAGTGAAAAGAAGATTAAGTATGGGTACCATATAAGAAAATTTTCCCTTTAGTTTTATATAAGAGTAATTTGCAAGTTTAATTAATGAGATTCTTTAAAAAAATATTTAAAGTAAAAGAACACGTGTCGTAGTTTTAATGATTGCATGTTGCCAAGTATGTACGAGGACTACCTGGCGATAGAATGACAGTTATAATATTGTTTTACTGATGTATGAAACTTAAACATCCTTCGTATGATGCTTTGTCTAATAAAAAACTAACTTAAAATTACCAAGAGAAGTATCTCATTTTGGGGAAAATTTATTAACTTGAACAATACAGGATACACTCACAAACCAAAGTCTAATGTGCATTGTAAGTTTATATGAAACTTAAACGTCCTTCCTATGATGCTTTGTCCATTAGCTGGATTGGAGAGAGGATATTGGACTTGCTGGTCTCAACAATACAACCATTCATTACCATTTCCTCCAGCATAAAGTGTGCTTTCTCTAGATGAAACATGATGTCCAGCTCACACTGCAAAATACACACGCACGAACGCACGAGAATTTAAAATAACCGAGCATGCAACATGCATTTATCTTTCCCTTTTTTTTTCTTTTTTTTTTCTGTAATCGTTAAACTCACCACATTTCCGAAGTGGCGATCCATAGTCTCAACCAGTAGGTGAATAAATTCCAGAACCGCAAGCTCATTCTGCAAAAACAGAAATGCAGGAATTTAGTATTTGAATAGAATAGAGTAATTATTAGAAGTTATATAACCAGAAGGTTATTACTATGCATGAGCTAACAAGAAAAAGCCCAGATTAGCAGTAAGATGTTCCACTAAAAGCTGCCAAGTACTAGGCCAAATTAACTAGTATAACTATATATGACCAATTTATTCCGAGTAATTTTTACAAAATCGACAATTCTCACACATTTGCTTGAGAAACAAGACGCGTCCCTCTAAAAAGATGCCAATCAACTTAAACACGCGCAATAAGGCTCAATAGTTTGAAAATAAATAAATAATTTTATCTCTCACACTAATCCTCTTCTCTCAAATCACAATATATTATCGAATTTGAAAAGAGAGGATGTTCTAAAGAATAATATTATCTTTGTCAAAACAGAAGCTCTCGAAGCATGGATTACAACGACACTACGACACACTTCTCAAACTATATATCAATTTCTATTTGTTACAAAAGGTGTAAACATGATTTTGAATTTAATTAACAAATGACTGAAGGGTAATTTTTCCGAAAGCATACACCTAAACCAACTTCATTTCAAGGGGATTCTACAGAGAATTAAGCTCCTCCCCTACATTTGGTGTATATAACTTGGGTCAAAGCTATTTCCAAAGAGCACTTTGTTTCTTTCTGATAGAGGATATAAAATAATGCATTTTGGATACAATAAAAGAATCCTAGTTCGACATATTAATATTATAAGTCGATTATCATATCTTCTGGTTTGACAATGCTGCCTGATATAGTCGGGGTGAAAGCAAACAAGAATCCCGTCCAGACCAAGGCCCGATACTTTGAGAACAAACTTCACGCCCAAGCTTTAAAGCTGTCATTGCTATTCAGTAGAAGATAGCCCTAACTGATAACTCAATGTCTACTTAAATAGAGCCATAACCCTAAAATTAACTTTAATGCATATTCTAAGCCTACGAGCCCAAAGCCCAACTAAATATTAAATAAAATAAGATATGCTCCTCTTAAAGAAGCGTTACAATTCTCCAGCAATGAATAAACAACCTTGTTCTGAAGGCAGAAGATGACTGAAGACATCTTATTCCTAATACGTCCTCTATCAAGCTTACGACATCTTATTCCTTTGCATCTAAGACGAAGCAAAATAAGTCCAACTTTCTAACATGAAAAAACAGGTCCAAATTTGGATCTTTATCAACTCCCACAAAAAGCTGCAAAATTAATGAAATGGAACTTAAAATACAGCCCGAAGAGATAACTATTAGTCGCATTGACACGTTCACCAGTTTGCTCTTCCACATATTCAAAGTTCTAAACTAACATGCACGCTTTCTGCATAGACTTCAGAAATATGAAGAAGTGACCAAGTAAATGGTTACTGATGAAGATAGAACTTAGTTAAAAATCCAAGCAAACTAACAAGGCAACCTAGTTGTTCTCCAGAAATTCATTAAATATGCAACCTCATTTAAAAGAACCAAGGGCATTCTTTTTCATGTTTGTATACTTAGAGATGACCTAATTTTATTGAACGACTTCACTCAGCTGGTATAAGAATTTAAAAAGAGGTATTCCCTCCATGATCAAGAATGAGGACCCAAAAATTGTGAGCCACAATTATACAGGATATCAAACAGGTCAGCCTTTTAGCTTTTGTGCTACAACTCACAAACAGGAAAATTTAAATATGCCACTTATGAACTTTTATCGGCAGAAAATATGCTTCTCCGTAGCCTAGTCCTATCAACAAAACATAATGCAACACCATTATAACCATCACCAAAGAAGACTATACATACAATCTATACATAATGAGCTTTTTACAGTGCCCCAATGAAATCATTGACCAAGTCTTGGACATTAAAAATAAAACAAGAGTAGCAGGTATAATTCAAGAATCATAATAGATAGTGTATAACTTACTTCTTCATTGTCGACTCCAACCAAGAAAAACAGTGATGCATATCGCCTGTAGATCACTTTATAATTTCGATGCTCAACAAATGAACACTGTTCAACAAAGAAGGTACAACAAAGAACCATTAGCACACTGTGACACATGATTTGAGATTTTAAATGACTTCTCAGACTTGTTCATTAAACGACTTCTCCGACATTTTTTCTTTTCATTTTCTCATCTAATCAATTTTCATAAACCTATGTACCACATTAGACCTTCCAAATGTGCAATCTTTTAAAATCCACCACCAATCATATTCAAGACCAGTCATCACATGCAGTAAAAAATTCGCAGTGGTATGGTTATTGTTGCTGTAAACAACAAAATAAATTAAAATAGAATAAATCTGTAAATCCACAGATTAAAAAATGTTCAGTAAACACAGCATGTTATGGGTACATACACAGACATTATATACAGAAACAGTAGAGATTGAGACCTGCTGCTCGTTACGGGCTAGGCATTTGCGGACAATTTCACCTTCCAGAGCTCGCCTTTCTTCGAGATTTAGGTATTCGTAGTACTGTGCAAGACGGGTCTGACCTTGCTTGTTCACCATTAGCACGAATCTTATTCCCATCTTGGTTCTTTGTTTTTTTTTTTTTTTTTTTTTTTTTGGGTCCTGCACCACTTCCTGATTGTGAGTATTGAGACTCAAACTAAAATTCTAATAAATTTTTTTTGTTCAACAATAACATGGTTTACAGCAAGTAATGTTTTTTGCCGAGGTTCTTTAATTTCCTTAACCTCCTAAAGAATCTTTTCAATCTTGTATGCACTCCTTTCTACCCCATTTCCATCGAAAACACAGCTATCATATGCCGCACACATGAGTTCCACAGGGGTAATTCATCTCTTCACTTGCTACCATCCTAGTGACCTCAAAAAACGAATCACCTTCCCATTGATCCTCAAATTCACACCATACATATTGAAACAAAATTCGAATTCGGAATGAATTTTTCAAATTTACCAGCAGCATTTACTAATTCAGCAATTGTTCAGTACAATTGTATCAAGAACCAAAATTACTTAAAAATGTACATCATGATACCAGCAAACAATAAACTGGACAAAGGATTGGCTTCCTTGGTTACCACATAATATAACTTGATATGAGTTTTCCCAGGGATTTACGAGTTTTCTCTACAACAATGGCTCAAACAAACAAATACAAAACCCAACTCCTCTAATTAACTAACCAGGCTACACGAATGAGATCCAATTCTATAAAGCCTTTCTATGCCTCAAGCCAAAGGAAAAAAAAAAAGATATCCCTACAACCTTAATGCTACCTCTTAAATTGAAACTTCAATCGGTCAATTGAGCCGGGCTGCGGGGTGTAATTCGTGACGTGAGGATTTGCTGCGTGAGGAGTACGAAAAGATTTAATTAGGTACCAGTTTACACTGATCAGCTACCCATTACCTGAATTACCCAAAATTTTCATTTTATTATTTAACACAAACCCTGAAAATTAATCAACAAGCTGAGAAAGCCACCAAAGCCAATCATCTAAGAAACACAAATTACAGTCTCAGTCCTCAAACAGAACATAAATAGAAAAGA